TAAGTTAGAGGCTTAGTTTGCTAATTTAGGCTCACAAGGAGTTCGAAGGTGATTGTTCTAGTTGGAATATTTTACTTCATTTCAACTAATAATGGGTTTCACTTGATCTTTATAATTAATTTTCCATTTTAACATTCTTCAGCTGGAGTTTTTTTCATAACCTGTGTGTATTATATGTTTCTTGTTCTGATGTCGAAACGTTCTTATAGGAAAACTGAAGAGCAAAGGCCAAAAGATCAGAAACCAAAAGCAAATGAAAACAAACCAGTTATGAATGAGTAGTTGTTTGGCCTACTGCTTATATATGCATACTGCTTTTTCGTTAAGAAACTAGTAACTGTTACAGACCATATCTCACATTCTCACTTGTCTTTTGAACTTATGACATTGGTGAATTATATAAATTTTTTAAATTCCTGAGCTATTTGTTAAATTCCTGAGCTATGTTATCTGGTTTTAAAGTTCTCTTTCCTTTTTATGTTGTATGGAGTATCATGTATGTATGGCCATGTTGGAGTTTAGGAGTTCATCGGGTAAGGCTTAGAAGCTATGGGCTCTAATGTTATAATTATTGAACTCATTAATAGGGGACATTCGATTTTACTGTTGGTCAATCTTAAATTTCAAAAATAATATGAATGTCGTACTTTGATCTGTGATTAGTATATCAAATAATCTCATCAATTAATGTATCTCACTCAATTGTGCTTTCAGAAATAACCAACCACATTAACAAAATCACCTCTTAATAATCTCATTGATGGAGATGCCTTAGAGCTTCTTCTATGCTATGAAGTGCCAAGTTTTCTTCATGTAAGGTATTAAGGTCTATATATTTTCAAAATAAATTCAAAATTATAAATGAGACTTCTAACCCAATTGCCATTTTGTAATTTGTCATATACTCAATTTACCAATTTATCCCTATTTCATTTTTTTCTTTTTTTCTTTTTTTCTCGACACCTCTTTTCATCCTATTAATGTAAAACACTCTTATCTTCATGTGTCTCTTATACTATAGTTGTATAATTAAATTGCATGTAAGATAACATAATAAGTTGACCCCAAATTCTTTTGGGATTAAGGCTTGGTTGTTGTTGTAAGGTAACATAATAAGAGAAAAAACAATTTCTGCTAGTCATGTACATATAATTTGCCCCCTTCTTGGATGCAACGTTTTCTCTGAATATATAGCATGGAATAATGGAAATGGTTGATGCACAAACGGTGTGAATTGGTAAAAGGTGCGAAATTATGTCTACCCTTTATTGGGTTTGAGTTGACAAATTGAGATTAGCTAAAGATATGAAAATCTCTCAAAGGAGCTTTTCTAAAGGTTTGGCTGCGACGGTGGGAGTAATTTATTAGATCTAGTCTACTTAGCAGTGTCCCTAGTATATACTTTAACAGTTTGACCCCTTTATATGTTTATAAATCTGAATTTGAACCCACACGGGTAGCTTAGTTGGTTCAGTGGTGGAAAATTTGGAACAATGACCAAGGTTCGAAAACCGCAACGACCGTGTGGAGGTTACAACTATTGCGTGTTGTGCTGGATGTTTGGTGTGCACATGTATAAGATCTACCATCATTGGGCCGACTGAGTCACTGTGACTTACATTCTCTCAAAAATTCTGTCGAGTCGGGGTGTGGGGCTCTTGGGGTGAGAGATTCCACCTTTTGGAACAATAAAACTGAATTTGAGTTGGTTTTGGGATTTGTCAATAAATTGTAATACATCGTACTAAACGGCATTGAGATTAAGTCATGCATCCAATAAAGAAGTGTTTTCATAAATATCACAGAAATAAAACTTTAGTTATTTATAAAAATATGAGTACGATTATCATGGTTACAGTGCCATGATCACTTAAATGTAAAAATCAAAAGTAAAGTACACTAAGGATGTTTTTACTTGGACTGTAATTTGCTGGTCTGGTCTGATCTGGTCTGGTCTGAACTGGTCTGGTCTGGTCTGAACTTGTCTGATCTGGTTTCTTTGTATTTTTATAACTATCCAATCTGGTCTGATCTGGTTTGGTCTGGTCTGGGACGAATTACAGTCCATGTAAAAACATCCTAACATTAATATTAGTCACTACATTTAAGAAGTCATTTTTTTTATAAAAATCTTTAATTTTAGTTATAAATTTATAATTATTTTAAAACCAATAATCCGGTTAGGAACAATATCATAAGGCATGTTTTTGTTTTAGATGAAGGGCCTATTTGGTAACAGCTGCATTGGCTGGAATGGTTGAAAAGCCTGAAAAGACTGAATTTGTTGAAATGAAAGTGTTTGATATGTTGCCTGAAATGGTTGATTGAACGTAAAATTACTATAAATGTTATTAGCTTATTTGTGTTAAATATATGGTGTGAGTTTTACTAATAAACCACTTTTGCTTGATTAGGTAATCATAAGACTACTTAAACAATTGATTACTTTGGAAATTTTATTATTACGCCGAATTTTGTATTGTTTATACATCTACTTTCTGAAAAATGCGTATTTTCAAATGAGCGACATTAAATTAGTAAATTAATTTAATAAATATACTTTTACTAAAGTATATTAACAAATGAACATGCACAGCAGTGGGTTTAGTATCGGCCTCCAAGAAAAAACTCCATATAGATCAACAGAAATAAAAAGGAAGCCCCATTGAAACAGTACAAAAAAACAGCCCTTCCGCCTAATGCATCTTGGTGACCAGACTCATCCGCAGGAGTCCGATGAGCAAAAGGGTTGCAACGTATTGCTAATTTGCGACTCTCTCGATCTCGAATTGAATTACAAACTTTGACTGGCACAAAGATTAAGAAATGACAATAAATGATGCTTGTCTTTTACATCTTTATCTATCTTTCTAAAAGTAGATGCCTTTTAATTAATGGGGAAAAAGTAAAAATAAGGATAAATTTGTCACTTTATTCTTATTTACATACCTAAAATAGAAAGTGGAAAGCCATTTTGGGATAACCAAAAAAGGAAATTTTGGAAATCAAATTGGGACTGAGGGAGTATTAATTAGCAAACTCATTCTAGCAAATGTATTACATGTGAAATAAAGGGTAAAGAAGTACTACCTCCATTCCATAAAATTCTTCCCACTTTGACTTGGCACGGAGATTAAGAAAGAGAAATAAAGTGGAAATGTATGGTTGTGGTTGTGTAAGAAAAATGTGAAATGAATGTGAATCACACAAATTGTCTAAAAATGGTAAGTGAGAAGAATTTTTTGGGACTGCCCAAAAAAGAAAGTGGGAAGAATTTTATGAGACGGAGGACTATTTAGGTTTGCAACAATGCATTAACAATTTCCAGCTCAAAATGTAACCATATTGTTATTTTTTTGGCTGATAAGAAAAAACAGCTCAAAGAGCCTAATTGTCATGTGTTGGGCTATATTTTTGCTTGAGAGCTCCAAACGGCCCCTAATTGAGAGCTTGAGATTGATGTTTTTGTAAAATGAATGGGCATTCGTAGCGTTTTTAACATAGGTCATAGAGACAGACTATTGTTTTTTTATACTCCATAATCAAATTCTTCCATAATCATATGGAGCCAAGTTTCGAAACATACCCACCGTCAGATATTAAATTAGACCATTGATGAATGTATGTACCATAAAAAATGAATATATGTAAAATATTCCATTGCATCCAAAACCTTGATTCAATGCAATTTTAAGACGTTGATTAGGTTCCATAGAAAAAGCCTAAAAAATATAAGAACCCAAAATATAAAGTTCATGCGTGTAAAAAAGCTTTGCAAAGAGTGCAAAAAAATTCTTTTAAAATCAAATGGGACCCACCTTTTTACTCGCAAAAGGATGACACCCCAATACCCCATCCGGCTAGATGGTCTCCAACACCGATCGGATAGTTAGGGACGGATCCAGTATTGGTCAAGGGGGCGAAATTTTTTCCTTTAGTGTAGGGGAGTGAAAATTTTCAGAAATAATTACATATTTGTGAGTTGTGACTAAAATTTTCAAAAAGTTTTCCTTTAAGATTTTTTACAAAAATGTGATTAATGACTAGAGTAGTAATGATATCATAGTAACTTACTTATTATGATTTCATATTTGTTCAATTTTTAAACTTAACTTACTATGACACTACATTGTAGTAATTATTAGTCATATTTGAGTAAATGAGTTTTATTTTGGTAATATTTATGTAAAAACTTAATATTAGTCACTAGTCAAGCGCGGTGAATTTTTTTCCCGCTAATGTAGTGGGACAAAATTGTTCACTAGTGTAGAGCTTTGCGAAATTTTTTTATTTAAAAAATTTCATTAATATATACATGATGACATTTAAATCTATTATATTCTACAATCTTATTTATGTGCTTTAGTACAATGGTAAGATTGCGTACATCCGGCTCCCTTAACCCCATCGAAGGTGTGGAGCCTTTGCGGCAGTGAAGTAATGATGATATTTTACAAGTTTAGATAATGAAAAAATAACTTTGATTTTATAATTGAAGTGCTCTAGAAAAAGCATTGATACAATAAATTGTAAGAAATAACAAATCAGAGTAAATTTATTTAAAAGTAAAAAAGGATATTTAAGATTTTATCAAATTATTTGAAGATAAAGAGTTTAAAACTTTCACAGAAACATATTTTATCTGTGAACATACTATTCACAGACAAAAAATAACATGTTCGCTCACTGTGTATGTGACATGTACAAAAAATGTGCAAGAAACAAGGTTGTATATTTTTTAGCCAATGAAAAATTGAGGTTTGTACTGTGGTAATCTTTTCTTGTATTTATTAATTCATATATCATATATGCACAATAACCGAAAATATTAATGTCAAAAAACATCTTTTCCTTTACCATTCATGTACCTTCACTTTATTCATTCAACAAACAAAGTTGGTTAAAGGAGAAAAAAGTTTGTGAAGCAAATTCCTCCCTTCCCCTTTATTCACGCCGCCTTATCCGCAATCATCATCACAAATTCCCTCTTCTTTTTCCCTCCCCATTCCCACCCTCTCCACAATTCAATTTCTTCACCTCTTCCCAATTCTACTTCTACACAACATGTCCGACCTGATGTGCCTATCAAAGCACACCACTTCTCCTCCGCCCAAAACACGGTGGTTCTCCTCCGTCCTCCTCCTCCTCGTCGCTGATTTGGCCCAACTCTGTTCTTTAATTCTCTCCCACCCTCTCTACTTCTCATCATACTTTTTTGTCTTCTTCACCCCTCCCCAAATCCTCACAGCCCTCACATATCTCTTCCCTCTTCTCCTCACTACCGCTTCCCTGTTCCTCCTTCCCCACCCCGCCGGCACTGATCATAACAGTACTGATCCTCTTGCTGCGATGAAAAGATTGCAGCGGTCAAAGTTTATAGATGATGGGAGTGAAGGGATTTTGGATACATTTGAGGGTTTTGAAGCTTATGAGAAGAAGATAGCTTTGCAATGCCCTGATGAAACATTGGGTGTTCAAGAAAACCAAGTCCAGTTCTTGGTGGATCAATGTTTATCATCATTATCATCCGTGGAGGATGAGGATGAGGATGAGGAGGATGAGATGTACTATTCATCAGAAGAAGCTGATGAAGAAAGTAATGCACCTACTGCAGAGACAATTGAGGCTTGCAAAACAGAAATTCCAAAATCAAGAAATTACAAATCTCAGAAATCTGCTTCCTTTCCCATGAGAAGTAGAGAGCGAAAGCCCACGGTGGCGGGGAAGATGACTTTGGGGTGGAGGATGTACGAGGAGAGGCGGTGCAGCGGAGAAGGGATGGACTTATTGTGGGAGACGTACGAGACGGAGTCGATCAGGAGCATCCCTGGCCCTGCCGCGATACACGCAGTAGAGGAAGAATCAATGAGATCAGATCAGATGAGGAAGAGCAAGAAAAGAGGGGATGATGAAGAAATGGGGACAAGCAGGTCATCATCATATGGCAAGGAGAGCGATGATGATGAAGGGGAGATGGTGATGATGGATGAGTTGTGTTGCTTGCAGGCACTCAAGAAGTTATCAGCTGCCAGGAAGGTGAACATGGGGGGGATGGGAAAGTCTAATCTTAAGAAGATTTCAAAAGCTATCAAAGGGATTGGATGGTTTAACCATTTGGGCAAGCGGCACAGGAAGAAGCAGGTGGTGCATATTGAAGACAACAGACTAATCTAGTCTAGCTAGTTACTAAAATGACATTTGTCTTCTTCATCAATTTTGGTGTCACAATATCTCCTTGCTGTTGTTTTTTTTGGCTTATGAGAGTTATTATACCTAGAAGTATAACTATTGAAGACAATAAACTGTTGGAAAAATTCATATTAATAATCCCAACTATTAAGGACCTTCCAATGTTAATCCCAAATATAAGTAATTCTAACATAATCCAAAATTAATATGGTGTCTTCTTAAGTTGATCCCGATAACCTAGAACTTACTCAACAGGTAAAAACAATAAAATGACAAGACAGAAAAGTATGACAGCTCATTTTGGCGAGCACCTTCCACACGCTATTCATCTTCACAATCCCTTTCTAAATTGCCGTGGGTTTTTTCATTTCTTTTCTTATTTTCTAGCCCTCCCTCTACAAGATATGGAGATCACCCTTCTAGCTTTCCCCTCCTTGTGGGTGTCATGGACGACGGTCGCTAATGAGAAAACATGGCAAAGCATATGGCGGATCGACTATTACTCCGGTGGTCTTCCCCCGCGATTCACCGACCAACACGTGGTGAAAAGATGCAGTGTTGGGAATGCTTCTCCATCGTACCTGCGGCAATTTCTTCCCTATTTTATTTGCAATTTCCCCTATTTTACCCTCCCTTAGTTCCTCCCTTCTTTCCTCTTCAATTCTTTCTAGTATTCTTTTTCTTGTTGCCTCCAGATGCAATTGACGGGTTAGGAGAGGAACTAATTCACCTAGCCTAAATGCTAGAAACCTTTTTTATCTAAATTGAACGATTTGTTGTCTTCTGTGTCACACCATGCTTCTATCTCAGCCAGCTGAGGAATAGCCATTAAAGGCTTTTTTTATGGTTCAACTCTCGTCATCCCGTTACTGGGGCCAAAAGGGGTGTCAACCTTCTGGTGAAGACGCCATAGCAGACGATATGCTTTTTGAGATGAATAGGGAGGGCGGCGGCAGCGGCCTAGCCAGATATCAATAGACCTGGAATGGCGTTAGATAGAAACAAATGAACGAAAAAAATCAGGAAAGAAAATGAAAAGAAAAAACAAAAAAATTGAAAACCAATAAAAACAGGCCATGTGTTCCGTTTACCTGCTGGATAGGTTTATTCAGGTTACCGACTTGTTTTGAGCAAAAAAAAGGATGACACACATCCCAGAGGACCCCCAACCCCGACCGGACGGTACGTTGGGAGGATGTAAATTGAACTATAATCCCAATCTGACAGATAGAGAGTGGGACTCTGTCCCCGATACTTACAGAGGCCCTATGCATTTTTAGCATAGTAATCTCTCATCGCAGTTGTCGGGATTCGAACCCGGGACCTAACCCTTGTGGCACTCCCTTGCTACCAGTTGAGCTACGCCCACCGGTGACTTGTTTTGAGAAGATACCTCTTATAAATTAGATTATACAGGATTAAGTAATATTTGGGATTAATTTTGGAAGACAACGATAGTTTAGATTATTTATGTGAATTTTTCCTAACTGTTTTCATTTTTAAATTTACACAAGCACAATAGAAAATTCATCATAGGCTTAGCCGCTAAGGTGTTGTTCAGTTCATAGTTATCTAATTTCTTTTTATGTATTTTAATTTAAATTAAATCAAGTCATAAATGTTCTGGTCAAGTATTGCAATGAGAAGATTAAGAGAAGATGCACACAACACCAAAATAAGACTAAAGAAAGGGCATCTTGTTTTTATGTACATCCAATTAGAAGAACATATAAAAGATGGAGGAAGATGAAGGATATCTTTTTCTGAGAGATCTAGAAGGGAAAAAACCATAATAAGAGTAAGGGAAGGTAAGGTAAAAAGGAGAGTCACTGGATAGGGCAGATAATTAATTACAACTCTTGTTTTGGCATTTTAAAACATGTGGCCTTCTTTTTTACTTTTTGTAATGTTTTATGTGTATTTATTTATATATTTTGTATAATCCTGTGAATTGTGAATCATTAGATCTCAAATTAAATGTACCAAAATCGTTCTCATTTTTCTATTAAGGATAAGAATTTGATGAATGAGATGGATGGTGATTTTATGGTAGGCAGTCTTAGGCGCCAGCTTCAAGTGTTTCTTCTTAGGCTTTTTCTTTTATCAGCTTTCTTATAAAATTAAAAAAAAATCTGGAAATATTACACACTTCCCAAAAGATCTAATCATAATAATGGGAAATATTACACACTGTTGGAAAAAGTGTGTTAAAAGTGTATTAAATGGTCATTTTGGGGCAATTATTTGAGTGGGGTCCACTTGCGATTTGGGTCGGGTCAAAGTGGTTTCGGATTGTCCTTGCTAAGGGCTACAATTCGATATATGGTACACTCAAAGCGGATAACGGGTGAATGAGAAATTGTTTTTCGAAGTTTACCCGTTGGAATGGAGAAAACTAGGAAAATGTGGGTTTTAGTGTGAGTTCTTTCCCACACCGAAAATCACAAGGGAATTTGAACCCTTTATAAAGGGAAACCCCCCCTAAGGAGTTAAGATTCCTAAAGGGAAAGGCTCTCTCACGCGCGCAGGGGGGTGCGAATCAAATCTCGAAACCGAAGAACAAAAACCGTGACTTGCGTGTGCGGACGACCTGCACACACGAATGCCGTTCGAAAATCTATCTTCTAAACGTTTTGGGTTGTTTAAGGACTGGAATCAATGCCCAACGTTTAATTTATAATTACAAGAAGAATCAAATGGATCATGATAACTTGATAAGTATATTACTTATTCAAATTGAGATTACTTAAATAAATCAAATTAATCTATATCTGAAAATAAGATACATATGAAAATGAACCAAATGTTCTTAAATTAATTTAATAGACAAAATGTGATCATTTTAGAGGTAATGTTTTTGGAGATGAATTAATCGATTGTCAATATGTAAAAAATTATATGAGTATCAAATAATACTAAAAAAGCATCTTAGATTTTCTTGCTATGAAGTTTAGAAAATTAATTACGTTGAAGTATTATTCCTTGTACCTCAGAATTTCCTCCCCATTTCGTTTCTGGGGTTTCTCTTGGAATAATTTCTGTAGTTAGAGCATCCACATTGATGATACTTGAATAAACGGATTTTTAATGACACGTAGATTGGTAAGTAGATTTTTTCAAAATAATCTCATACCTTCAAAATTATATCATTCATCATCTCAAAATAATCGGATCTTTTGTGGGTCCTGCACTCAGTAATTAATAATTTAATACTACCTTCACAATAATCTTGAGATAATCTGGATTCATATTTCAATCCCGGATTATTTTGTCAAATAATCTCACGAAATAATCTTCATCACTCAATCATGATCCCCAGAATAATCCACCACATCAACAACTTAATCCTCAAATAATCTTATGAATGGGGATGCCCTCATGCATCATTATGTTTTCACATTAACTAAGATGCATTTCCACTTTACAAACAAGTTTGTCGATTAAAGGTTAGAATAGCGAATTGTGTTTGACAACATAGATTTTTTATGCAGACATTATCAATTATTAGTATTAATACGAAAAAATTGATAAGATTAGTATAAAGTTATTGTTTAGTTATGCAGTGGATTGATTTTGATATTATATTTTGGAAAATGGGTCAAATTAAATAAGTCTTTCTACTATTTTCAATGCATCACTTAAGCCTCTGTATTTAAAAAATATATCATATAAATATGCTTACTTTTAGAATACAATCAATCAAGCCATTTGACCTGATATACCATGTTATTTTTTTTAAAATTAAATCATAAATATTGATAAATCTTGCAAAAATTCATATAAATTTGAATAAATAATCTATTAATAATATAAAAATAGTATAAATGTAAAACTAGATAAAATTTTAAAAAAATAAAATAAAAAATCAGAAAACTGAAAAAATACAGTGAAAAAAAAAATTGAAACCCTTTTAAATAGATGTAGAATATACATATATACATATATATTTAAAAATGAAAAAAATTTGACTTTGATATTCTGAAAATTTTCACAATTTTTGTATTTAATTCTTCAAATTTTAACAATTGTTTAGAGTTTTTAAATATTAAAAACATGCTATTACAGATAAAAAACTGATGAAATGGTCAAACTGATCAATTTTGTAATATAGGCGTACTTATATTATATTTTGTTTAGTACAAGCTTAACTGACCGATTGGATATAGTAGAAGAACTTATTTGACACTTTTTTCTTAATTTTTTAGCTTTAGAAGGTCAAATTGCATTTATTAAATTTCAATTATCATGATTATAAGTTTATACTGGTGAAATCTGGGGCTAGAACCTCTTTTTGGATATATGTGTGTACACACACGTATATAAATACTTGTGGATTATAAAAGTAATACAAATACATCACTAAATATCTCCCACATTTTGATTTTCTTAATAAAAATTTATTTTGGAATTTGAATTTACTTATGCCTTCAATAATTATAACTTCTAGTGATCGTGACAAAACTCTTCTCCGTTTGACTTGAAACGGCATTTAACAATGTGAAAATAAAGTGGAAATGTACGATTATGATTGAGTAAGTAAAATGTAAATGAATGTTAGTCACAAAAAACTTTTCAAAAAGGAAATGAGAAGAATTTTTTAAATTTTAGGAACAAAAAGAGTATTACCTATTGCACCATCGAGTCATGTGGTGATAAAATCTCAAACTTTAACATTGAACACATAACATTCAAGGGCGGAGCCAGGAAACTGGGTCGGACTGAGCCAGTACAAAAAATATTTTTGAATTTTTTTTTGCACGAAATTTTTTACACTAAAAATATAGACATTTTTCAAATTTGGTTTGGGTCAGGGGTCAAGGTTGACGCTCCTCTAGCTACGCCACTCATAACATCTTAGAAAATATATACTCTTTCTCACTGTTGTCCCTTCTTTTTTCCCGTCTATCAGATTACTCTAGTTTTGTCTCATAAAATTGTAATATTTGTGTGATTATGTACTGTTTAACCCTAGTCAGATCAACACCGCTTCGTCTTCTTTTGCCCGTAGGAGGTCACCGTCACTAGCCCTGAATTATTCCGATCCAGAATCTTCCCCCCATGGTTGGTGCACGTTTGAATCTACCTCATCTCCATCTAGCTGTGATCCGTCTGCCCTGACACTACAAGAAATCACG